AGAAATGAACAATATGAATGAATGTTTCCCCCATGGCTCTTTATTGTTAGTGTAGGAGATAATATTGTAGGGTGTAGGTCAAATATCATTGAACACTTCCCTGTTTGTTCTATTGAGTTCTTTTAAAACTTATCATCTCCTTCCCCTCCTCCTCCTCCTCCTCCTCCTCCTCCTCCTATGTATAGTAATGCTAACCATTGCTCCATCCTCTGTTTAGACTTTCTTTTGCCACTGATATTGCCCAAGGAATGGCATATCTTCACCATCATCGAATTTATCATGGACAACTGAAATCAAAGAACTGTGTTATTGATGATCGCTGGGTCTGTAAGATTTCAGGTAAGAAGAGAAGAAGATAAAAAGTATTTTCACTTAAGTATTAGGAGACTAAATTAGATACTACAGGACAATTTTTTTTACATCAAATGACAGCCTTAGGGTTACCAGAGAGGAATTTTGATGACTAGGGAGACTCAGATTCAAGTCTTCAGTTGATCATGGAGTCTACTTGGTAATTTTGGGTTAATATTGTTTGAAAAGGGATTTTTAAGTAATTTTACTAAAATTACAATTGCTGCAATAAAAACTAAAAATACAATGAAAAATGAAGGTGCAGGAAATTAAAAAAATGGAAAGAAAAATAGAAAAGAAAGTAAGAATATAGTAAAGTAAGAAAAATATTTTAAAACTGACTGTCGCAGCAGACACAAACCATTGTAGTAATGTATCATCTTCTCTCCCAATGCAACAAATGAGCTCTTTGAGGAGCAGCTCTCTGGAGCGCTTGTGGGTATTCTCAAGTCCTCTCCTTGCTCAGGAGAGGAATTACGAAGAGCTGATTCTACTCCCAAGCTCTTCATACTGCTGCGGTTATTGGGAATCATCTTCCGCTCACTATTTCTTCCCTGGAAGTCTGAGAAAGGTTTTCAAAAGAAGGCAGATTTGCCTATCAATATATATTCAGGCAATCAGTTCTATGTTGCTAGAATTCAGCTGGAAGTACGTGGAGACCTGTCTGCAGCTTTGATGGGCTGGCCCCATTTTTGTTTCAAATGCGTCCTTTCTTCCAGGCACGATAACCTTATCAATCAGCTTTGGCTCTATGCTTCTATAAATAAATGAGACCAGTTCCAAGTGACATCATACGTTGATATTTATCAGTGATATTTTTCAACACCTTCTCAAAAAACAGCTCTCAAATTCATTCTGAAGTTAGCCACAGTAAAACTTTGCATCAGTGGTGGGATTCAAAATTTTTAACTATCTGTTCTGTGGGTGTGGCTTGGTGGACATGGCATGGCATGGCATGGTGGTCATGGATTGGTGGGTGTGGCAGGGAAAGGATACTGCAAAATCCCCATTTTCTTCCAATCAGCTGGGACTCGGGAGGCAGAGAATAGGTGGGGGCGGGGCCAGTCAGAGGTGGTTTTTACTGGTGCTCCGAACTACTCAGAATTTCTGCTACAGGTTCTCCAGAACTAGTCAGAACCTGCTGAATTTGCATGCTAAATACTGATCCTGGAGGTAAAACAACATGAATAGTCTCTTGTCTGAAGGATTTTTTTTCTGTATCCAAAATTAGCTGAGAAAATTGCAGAGAAATTCATTTGTATTCGGAAATTGGAAAATGCCCTTGTACTGATTTGCATGTTTAGATGGTTCTAGATTAAAACAGATTGCAAAACCTCAAGGGAAAGAGAATCTCTTTGTTCCTTTTCTTTGTGGCAGACTATGGTTTGCAATCCTACAGAAAAGAGGATTCAGGGATGAATTCCAGTATTGCCCATCAAGTATATTTGGCTCCCGAAGCTCATTCCATGCCAAACTTTGAACCAACCCCTGCTGCAGATGTATATAGGTGAGGACAATAAATTCACTTATGGATGGTTACCTCCCTGTATCTATAAATATTTATATACTTTATTCTTTTTATTGAATGAGCATACACATTTCTACATTTCTGTGATGGTTATTTGTTTTGTAGATAGGTAAGAAGTTCAAAATATTTTCTTTCCAATGTGTAATATACTGAATATGCCACATGTGATGTTTTAGGAAACTAAAGCCCCCTTTCAGTTGCAATCAGTGCATCAAATACGCAAAGGAAATATGCTCATTTTGTTGCTGTGCTACTATCTGTATTGCCTTCCACAAATATAGGATGACTTCTGCAGAGGAGTGCAGAGCTCTGGAAGTTAGATTGTCAATATTTTTAGAATGTTTTAGTGTGGAAGAATAATCATAAAATTACCTTTACCATTTCATCTGCTGACCAATCAATAAGCCGTTCTCAAACATTCTGAGCTCCATCTAAGCTCTTAGTCACGTCACACATTTCCTAAGTGTTTGAAGATGCTGGGGCATTTTTCTTAAGACTCCATATTCTGCAAATAAGGCTCCACTGTATCTAAGCCTTGCCTGATCCTATTTCATCACCGAGAAGATGAATCAGCAGGGCAGCTGTGGAGGTATGTTTGTCAGTGAATCCCTAAAATAAGCTGATACAGCCTCTACTTGCTGCAAGGTAAATCTTTTAGAAAATGTGGATGTATATGTACCATTTATGTGTTTTTAACTGATTCAGTGAATATGGAATTTTTTTTAAAAAAAATAGTAAACATACATTCAGATTCTGGAATAGAGGGAATGAAGTGCTTATTGTAGTAGGCTACACTTTTAATACCATAGACCAGGGATAGCTAACCTTTTCCAAAGCGCAAGTGAACACACATGTCTGAACCACCAAAATGCAGTGAACGTGTGGCCCCCATGCATGCACCCCCCCTTGCATGAGCACGTATCCCCCATGCATGCCCCCCACGCATGCATGGCAGAGATTTGAAGACCAGCTGGCTGGTGGGAGGCACACTGTCAGGCCTGCAGCCATCTTTTCTTTTGGGTCTTTGGCCTGTCACACTTTCCCTGAGTCATCTTCCCTGAGTCCTTATGCTGCCCAGGTGCCAAGACTCAGGGAAGATAACACGCGTTGCCATAGGTTCACCATCATGGCTCTAGATCATTGGTTCTCAATTTCAGCAACTTTAAGACCTCAGCAATTTTAACGTCTGTGCAACTTTCAGACCTTCAAAAGACGGCCAGTGCCATTTCCATTCCATATCCAGGTCTGATCCTTATCTGAAAAGAATACAGTTTGTATGAGTCTCTGGCATGTTTTAAATACTCATTTAGATATTGGGATGTGATTATTAATTTTCTGAAGCCTACATTGTTTGGTCCTTTTTTAGTAGTGCACAAAACGTAAATACATTTAGGTATATCTATAAAGAAAAATTATGCAGAGAACTTGAATTCTCCTGCTGGATAATCGGAGATGCGACATACCCGTGGCCTATTTCTAATCAATTCTCTGTAATTCTGCATATCTTCTTACATTGATTCTATGAAATAATATCAGTGTATTGCAAATAAAAATTTGCAATATGTTTATAATTACTAAGGGAAATTAATAGGCCATAATGATTATGTGAGGGAAGATAACTAAATATTTAAAGGAGACAAAGCAGCAATCCATTGTGATGAAAAGGCTTCATTAATGAGATCTAATGTAGAGACAAGGCTACTGTATTCAGCTCATCTTATTTATATGGCACTGTCTCTTTGAAAACAAGGAAGTTCAAATTTTATTGTTTTCAGAGCACTTGGCTGTGATTAGTCTGAGCTAGATTACAGTCTGTTTGATTTCTTTCCATTTTTTAATAACTTCTGCTTATCTTATAATGTTTTGTCTTCAATCCTACAGCTATGCTATCATTCTTTTAGAAATAGCAACAAGAAGTGATCCATCACTGGTAAGAAATTCCATAAAATATGGTTCTTCATTAAAGTTAATCTTGCTGGTACTGGTGTCCTTGAAGATACTGCTGGTCTTTGGGGGTAAATATGTAAATCCACTGGATTTCTGATACCTGCTTTCTCTTTAGCTTTAGTAGTTCAGTATAAGCAGAGGATGTAATTCATTCCACATGTACACAACCCACCACTCTGCATGAAACTAATGGACTGCATTAAAGAAAAAGTGGACTCCCAGAAAGCTAACTAAGCCTCTTTATACAACTCAGGAAGTAAACATGAACCAAAGAAATTAGAGCAAAATCCTTTATTATTTAAGAAGATTTCTATTTATGCAATACCACTAGCAATAACACTTAGACTTATATACCACAGTTCTTTACGGCAGTTTACAGAGTCAGCATATTGCTCCCAACAATCTGGCTCCTCATTTTACCCACCTCAGAAGGATGGAAGGCTGAGGCAACCTTGAGCCGGTGAGAATCAAACTGCCGAACTGCAGCCAGCAGTCAGCAGAAGTAGTCTGTAGTACTACATTCTAACCACTGCACCACCACGGCTCATTAAAGCATCTAGAATTCCCCTTCAAAATTATGTAATTTTTAATTTGATCTGGGATCACCAGTAATGGGCAAGGAACTTCCTATAGATTTTTTACATACATTGGCTGAAATGTGCAATGCTAGTTCACATGTGCAAAGTCTGCCTCTTAAAAGGGCTGTATCGTTTCCAGTCTAGAGTTGCAATAACAACTACAACAAACCCAGTTGGTGAGTCCATACATCTACTGTCCTATAAACATTGACAAGCAGGGGCATAAAGCTAAATTCACTATGCAAAGAATGATAGCCAAAGCATTCAGTTCTCAAAAGAGAGGCCTGGTGCACATAACATCTAGATTTAGACTTATATACCACAGTGTAGGCTTATGTAGCACAGTGTGCTTTACAGCCCTCTCTAAGCTGTTTACATAGTCAGCATATTGCCCCCAGTAATCTGGGTCCTCATTTTACCGACCTTGGAAGTATGGAAGGCTGAGTCAACCTTGAGCCGGTCAGGATTGAGGGAATCGAACTCCTGGCAACGTAAGCAGAGTAAGCCTGTAGTACTGCATTCTAACCACTGCGCCAACACAGCTCTTATCACGGACTGCAATAGTCTATGTTCCCAAGCTCTCTATTTCTATATGTGTATAGCTATGTGTGAAAAAACACCAGCACTCTCTGTGTTTTGCAGAAGGATGATACACATTCAGAAAAATATTCCTTGTGCCTCCCTTTGGCAGAACTAATATCTGAAAAGTCTGAAAATGCTTGTCCATGTGCCACAGAATATATAGAGGTAAATTTGAAACATTTGGAATCTTTTCTGTCTTCGTTATGAGTGAATTACTGTATCTTTGTAATTTATATCCTTAAAAATCACTCTGTGGGCCTGCTATTTATGCCTTAGTATGAGTATTATTATTTCATGATATCGATACTCCTCCATACTTAACAGTATCTACAAGTCAAGTTGTTGTTAAGCACAAAATGAAGCACGCAGTTTGATTATAAAAGCTGGCAACTTTAATGGTTCCAGTGCATATTCCCTTTTGAAGAAATGAGATGTTTTAGTTGTATTAAAAACACAAACTAACGAATGTTGTCCTTGCAATTTGTCATTTAAATGCCATGGAACAGTGAATGGCATGAATATTTTTTTTAAATATATATATTATTGTCACAAACTGATATTTCAGCTTGTCTCACAGAAACAGAAGGCAGCAAATGATGTACCGTATTTTCACGACCAAAAGCCGCACCGGATTAAAAGCCGCAGTATCAATTAACGTTAATT